CATGCCATTAGTGGGGCTGGCTGGAGCCAGGGGGTCAAACTAGATGGCCTGGGGGGGGGGGGGTCCCTTATGACTTGTTCTGTTTCTGTTTCCATTTAAGATACATTATACTCCAAAGGTTATTCATCATAAATAAGGATTGGTTTAATTATGTAGCATGAGGCTGTATTTCATGCAATGGGGTTTGTTTTGTTTGGGGGGGGGGTTGGGGGGGAATGAATTCTATTAATCTATTCACAATGTCAGTAAGATTTCTGGACAATTTTTTCTATCTAGAAAATATTATCACAAATATTTAGTTTTACGGTTCTCAAAACTGTGAATTTGTGTCTAAAGAGATCACATGTTCTTCTTCGGAGCAACAACCTTATAACAGAGTTGAGAAAAAGATTTTAATTCCGTTGTTCCAATGGTAAATCTCTGTGCACAGAATCAACCCCTTTCCTCTTAAGTGCAAAGTTTTAAAAAATTCAATGAATAGAAGAAGCCTTTTGGGAGTGGAATAGATCATCACAAGAAGCTATGTGTGAGGGAGGGAGGCACAAGCAGTGAAAATGAAAGTGAACCTTTTCGGCAAAATACTCCACAAGTCTTGGATATTTTGGTGTATAACCTGAGGATTATTATATTATTCTTTCCCTGGAAGAGATAACAGTAGCAGGCTGTAAAAGAGATCCAGTCTGGGAATATTTTAATAAAGTCCCCCTACCTATGGGTAGGGCAAGCATGCAAGCAAATTATGGAGAAAACCATGACTTAAATCTAGTCTTGCTGACTAGAGATTTAAATCATGATTTAAATCACTTCTACCCTGTATTACATAACTTGCTCAAATTGAATTGCCTTAAATTCTGTTTTCCCCAGAAGTTTATTCTTCTCTTTCCATAACTTTCAAGAATGGGGAAGATTTGCATATGCCTTAAACTATCTTTGACAAGCATATTATCAACAGCCCTAAGATGAGTTTCTGAACTTATTTCTGCTGCTTAAACCCCCTCAATGGAGCCTTTGAAAACAGAGGTAACTGCTGAAGAGCAGGTAACAAATGAGAGAATAAAGTCATGAAAAGAGAAAACACACCTTCCAAGACATCAAAGTGCTATTAGATTTTCTAAACACATCTGATATTTAATATGCACAAATAGAACAGGATCAGACATCTCAGTTATGTCCCAATATACTTGTCAGGCTTCAGTGGGGCAACAGTTTCATTTGGCATCTGATTTGAGCTTGTGGACCATTAGAGCACTATCAATAAAACCATCATGAGTTCCAACAAAATGTTCTGCACACCATCCTTGGTGATAAGAGACTCAGCTGTTGCTGTCTTTAAAGTTCATGGCAGGCCGTATCTGTGTGTCATGATTATGCTAGATGGCTTAGCAGAAGTGCTAAACGCTGGCATCCGCAAGCTTCCAAGCTTATTGTTTAAATCTTCTACTCAAACAGCATTAGCCAAATACTTTCAGGAGACTGTTCTTTTCAGTTCTGTGTGTACAGAGAAATTGTCCTTTTTTCCAAGCAGCAATTAGTCATTAGTACAGTATGAGGCAAGAGTGCCTACCTGTAAACAGACCACCCATCATAGTAATGATAGGTGGTCTGTTTACAGGTAGCTCTGATCTGCTTCTCTTGCAATCTATGATTATTACTTCTCAAAAAAGACAATACAATTTCTAATTGCCAATTTGGAATTTAATTTTTTGCCCATCTCTAATAACTTAGGATGCATTTTGAGTTATTAGCATAGCATTTTGGGCTTCCCTTTTGCAATATTTAGAACGCAGCTGTGCAGAAAAGAAAAGATGCTAACTATAGCACAACCACAAACTACAAATGCTTTTCATTTACACAGAACATTCTTCAGGAACACAATAAAAGCTAGTTTTTACTTATATAAATTAACACATTATGGGTGTCTAAATAAAGAATGGTTAACTTCAGGCCACCAAGTTACTTGACCCCTATAAATTCTCCTCATGATCCTATTACATCCCTTGTATACTTTGGCTCTGGCTCCAGCTCCTTCACAGAACATAATAAACGAAGGAACTTGTTTGGTTCCAAAGAATTACACAGGACAGGTAGAAGCAGCATGGTAAAGCACACAAATTGCCTGTTCCAGCCATCTATTCATCCCAGAGGCAGTATTCTCCTTTGGACTGCTTTGCATAGTTCCTCAAAGAACTAGTAAAAGACAAAAGACAAGGGTCTGCAAAGAGTCAATTATGTTTAACATTTTAAATCTGATTTTTTTTTAAAAAAATGTGAATACTAAATTTCACTGAAGTAATAACTAGGCTAACATTAGTCCTACATTCACCTGAAATGTGAGGTATTACAGAGAGTAGTCAGATTGGGCATGTGCACTGGTCTCATGCTCTTCAAGCAGAGACTAGAATTCCCTCTGAAATCTTGCTAATTCAAGAAGGCAAAGTCTGAACTGAGGGAAGAAGAAATGGCATGCCTGGAGATGTAGGAGATGCTTGGCCCCACCCCTCTATCCAAACTTAGACCTCCTGCATTAAGACAAATGCCTAAATAGGGCTATTATGCAATCTGAAAAGAAGCATGTTAGAATACAAGCATATTATACAGTTAAAGTCTTAACTCTATGAATGCCTCAACCAGATATATTGAGTTAACATAGCCTTTCCCACAGAAGTGAATAACCAAACTGGCATTTCACAAATATGAATATTTACATTCTACCTACCAAACTTACAGATTTAATTTCATCAAATGGTAAGAAACTGTTATATTCTGACCAGTAATCATTGTATTTGCTCTAACCATTGGTATTTCATTTTTGTTTAGTACTCTCTTCTTGTGAGGGTGAGGCTGGGTCAAGACAGAGTGAAGACGAAATGAGAACATACACACAAGTTGTTCAGTGGAGTTTTTCCTGCACACTTGCCTGAAAGTAAGCCCAATTAAATTCCATGGATAGGATGATGTTATTAATATCTGACTCTTAGGGGTGACAATCACAAGACAGACCCTATTCCTCCACAGAGAAAAAGCCAAGCCCTCAAAACCATCTTATAATAATGAAACAGTGTAAATAATATTCTATTTTGTTGCGAATGAACATGGTTGGTGCTCATCAGATCTACACCATTATTTAGGAACTATGAGGTTTCAGTGGAAATTTGTTTTTAATAGATTCACCCATATTTGAACTTAAGCCTTCAACTAACAACAACAGGCTTTAGGGTGGGAAAAACAAGACAACTGCAAACACCTCCAACAGGCCTCCTCCAGATCCATTTCTATGTAAGCAAGTATAAAGTGATGCACTCTGGGGGGGCAGGGGAAATCCTAACTTCCTGTTCATACTGATGATTCTGGGACAGCCAGTGAATGATGAGCCAAAAAGGATCTTTGGCTGAGGTGGCTAGCTCAATAAAAACTTTGACTCAAAGTCCCACTGCTGTGAAATAGTCAGAATCAATGGTAGAATCATTAGAAAAGGAACTTAAAATAAAATTGCCAATCTCCTAATGTCTTTAGGCTTGGGGTGCAGAACCTGAGAGCCAAATCTGACCCTGAAGAGCTCAATCTGGTCATCCAGGATGCCCCAGAAGACCAACACCTTTCTCTTGTCTCCATCTCTTTACCCACAACTACCAATCACCTGGTGATTTCCCAGCTTTTCTGCAGCTTCTTCCCCCATTCTAAAAAGGGTAGAATGCCTCATCTAAGGCTTAATTACTGGTAGTAACAGCATTAAGCTAAAATATGTTGCTAATGTTTGTTTTAGGTTCCATCCCTTTCACTTTTAGCCCTTCCGACCACTGGGATGTCGCCCCCAAGAGCTTCCATGAATGGAATCAGCCCTCAGGTTAAAAGATGTTCTTACTTAGACAAATGTATGAGGCAACTATGCTTGTATTATTGAGTGCAATTCTGGGCACAAGAAGGTATTTTAGAGCTAGAAAAACTGCAGAAAAGTGGGCCAAAAAGAACAAGAGGGAAGCACAACTCCACTATGAGGAAATGTAAACAAGTTGGAAGCTCTTTAACTTAGAAAAATGCAAATAAGGAATAGATACAGATTATAAAATTATGCATGGTCATCCAGTGAAGCTGAGTAGTGGGATATTCAGGACAGATAAAAGGAAGACCACCTTTACACAGTGCATAGTTAATATATGGAATTTCCAACACAAGGTGTAGTGATGGCCACCAATTTGGACAAGAAGATTAGACAAATTCATGGAGAATAAAACTATTAGTGGCCACTAGTCATTTTGGCTAAAAGTGATCTCCAACATCAGAGGCAGTATGTTTCTCAACAGTAGTTGCTGAGGAATGTGACTAAGAAGGTGCTACTGCAATCACAGCCTGATTTTGGGCTTTTTATAGTTGCTGGTTGGCCACTGTAGAAACAGAATGTTAGGCTAGATAAGCCTTTGGCCTGATCCAGCAGGGCTCTGCTTATGCCCTGTTCTCCAAAAACATGCTGCACAATCCAATCCAGTGTTGCATGAGTAGAGTTGTGTGTATAAAACAGAATTTTCCCCTTCTGCTTCTTCGTCTTGCATGTCCTTGTGCCCCTCCAAAACAGTCTTTGAGAAGGATGGAAGCTGCAGCAGGGAAGGATTCTTTCCCCCTCCCTTGCTTCAATGAGACAACCTGCTCTGTTTGCAAAAAATGCAAGCTGGATAGCATGGCTATAGCATGGCTTCTTACCTGTAACACCGAAGACTGGATACATTAAAAAAAAAAAGTAGAAGTTTTGCTGGGAAGTAAGTAAATGATTAAGCAAAAGCAGCAGCCCTGGGTGATTTTGCTGCCCATGAGTGTTAAAGAAGTTCCATAAAAGGTGCTCATACACACAAGCACAACCCCTGTGCCAGGAAAACACAATCACACTAGACCCACAGCACTTCTGGTCAGTTGTCACAGCTTTGATGGCAGACCAATGATTCAAGTTTGTGTTGTCCATTTTGCAGCCTTGAAGGTGCACCTTCATCAAATGCCATAGCACTGCTCACCTTTAATGCAGAGGCCAAGCTGACCATGTGCTCATTCAGGGTACTCTCGGACTCCTTGTAAGTCAGGCAGGTGAACTGGTATTCCTCAGGATCGAAGGCATCTGCTCCCTGTTGCTCCACATCATTTGCCACCCCCACATAGTAATCCTCAATGTCCCCAGGGTCTTCATCCTCTTCCTCCTCATCACAGTTGGGATCATAGTCCTCTTCATTGCTGTCAGAGCCCTGGCTGTTCATGTCCACAGACATCTTAGTGCTCTGCCAAACTGCAGAGTAGGAGAGCAATGTCTGCCTCTTTTTCCACCACACTATCGCTCTTTTGACTTCATCTGACTTTTCTACCTCCTAAATAGGGGGAGGAGGAATGGGGAGGAGGAAAACAGACAAACAAGTTTGATTGTTATGCCCGCAGAGTAGCCTGTCCATAAAAACATAGCTGGGAGTGAGCAAATAAATTAAAAGTAAGCAACATTGCTCACACCTAATGTATATTTTCAATCACTTTTTTGGTAAGAGGCCAAGCACAGCCAAGTTATTGCTTAGAGGTCCTGGCTCAACTTCTTGCTCAGATGTAAACTTCACTCTTTGCATGACAATAAGTACATCTGTTTCTCCTCCCACCTACCACATATGACTATTTGAATAATCACAGCATAAAAATCCTTAACAGCAGGCACTCATAACTGCCTGCTCAGCTGAGTTGAGGATTTCCAGCATTTCTGCTCTAATTACATTACTTCATGAAAAGAAAATAAACTTTCTAATGTGTACAATTCTCATGCAATGAGCTGGTCAGAGCTGCCACTACTGAAAAGGCTTGAGTCTTGGCTGCCACATAATGGACATCTGATAGTAATAGTACCCTTTGCAGAATTTCCTCAGATGATGTCAAGAAAGAAGACAATACATTCCTTCAGAATATGTAGACCTTTAAAGGTTAAAATAAGCATTTGAATAGTGCTTCAAAAGTAACTGGCACAGCTTAATAAGGCATTTTTGGCTATTTAAATGAAAAGACTGACTATTGCATTCTGCACAGCTGAAATATCCAAACAATTCTGGACAGAGCATACTACTCTTACCTAAACTAGAGGATATCAAGCTATGATATTCTAGAGAAGTAAAACCTGGTTTTTAATAGCACTCTTAGCTACAGCTTCTGTATGTGAACCAAGTAACCACACTCAATCCAGGAGCAGAGCCAAGCTGCAATCTTGATGACTCGCATGCCCATCAGAAGTAGATGGTCAATCTGCTCTAGATGGAGGTTACACTTTAAAATAATAATTTTCAAGCAGACTGACCTGCCAGCTATCAACAATCCCATCTTTGATGGACTGAGCGTCAGCCCACCTCCAAACTATTTCTGAATTCAGACAATCCATCAGGATTCCACTGTCCAAGAGAGGACAGCATTCTCTTTCTTTTCCTTCTGCCTTTGCATCTTTGATTCATGGTGCCCTGTACAGATGCAATGGTGTCATCCTCTCTATCCCACTTCCATTTCTACCTCCAAACCACTCCCAACACATTTTTTGATCCAGATGGTAATCTTTATTGGTAAAAACTGTCAGTGTAACTAGTAGTGTTAAATAAGCACTGCATAGCAGTAACGACACCTTGTACCTTCAAAGTATGTAACTCAAGTTCTCATGACCTTTGCAAGACACACTTTCAAGGAAAGATCACCTGCTTTTTCACACTTGGGAAACGAAGTAGATGATGTATCAGTTGAATGGCAAAATTGAGAAAAGTGCCTACCTATAACCCAATTTAAAAAAAAGAAGCTGAACGAGAAGCAAGTCAAGAGCTATGTACACAGCCAATATTCCACACTCAGAAAGCAGAAAATTCTTATTAAGCTGTCTTACTGAAGGACTAGTTTAGTTCTTAATATTGTCTATTAAAAAGCACACAGGTATTTGGGTAGCATGAAACTAGCTAAGAGCAATATTATGCTTACAGTCTATTAGGGCTAGCAATTATGACTAGATATGTTCTCCAAAAAGCTGATCAGCAATCTGAGAAAGTTGTAGCTTTAACCAGCTGCAGCCTAGATCTTCTGATCAACAAGACCAAGAAATCACCAGTAATACTTGTGAGGATCACAAAATATAAAAAAAGCTTTTCCATACAAAAACCCTCCCCATCTTGGGTCCTAGCCTACCCAAGGCCAATGCATTTTACATCTAGTCCTGCAGTTATCTTGCATCCAATAAAGGAATCAAAGCCCAGCTACCCACCCCCTCGTAATCTAATCTAACTAGCATGAAGCTCAGTGTAACAAACTTATGTGGGAATAAATTTGATTTCAGTAACAATTACTTCTAAGTGTGCATATGACTGCAGACTTAGAATAAATAACATGAATTCAAAAGAATCTATGTCTTTTTACCCCAGATGGTCTTCAAGGCAGCTTATAACATAGCACCCAATGCTGAACACAACACACCCATCTGACTATAAAAAACACATTAGGGATGTTCTCCGTGTAGCATTTTATTATATTTTTCCAGGGGTAAACTGGTTGTGCCTTCAGACAAGCAGCATACAGTGCACCACTGTTTTGCTGATTATTTTACATGTATATATCTAACAGTTGTAGAATCACTTGCTTGGAAAATGTAACTTTGAATTTCTGCAGAGCAGAAAACCAGAGCAACACAATTTTATTACTATGAATTATATTTCTATATAGCCCAATTGCTCAAACACTCCGAGTTTACAACAGCATATAAAATACAAGCACACAACAGATAATAAAATATAAACACTGCAATAAAAATTTAAAAGTCAAATTAAAAACCTATAATTTATTTAACTTCTATATCACTCAACAGCCAAAGCTCTTGAGCACTTTATGACAATCCATTAAAACACAATCTGAAATGCACCACAATATAAAAACATTGAGAAAAAATTGCCATACAAAAAATTTAAACCAGATTAAAAATATACAATTCCAATAAATTAAGCACAACAAAATATGATTGAACCTGATTAAAAACAAACAAAGCCCCAACTAATTAAATGCCCTGCGATAGAAGAAAGTCTTGACCTGGTACCAAAACACAGTAAGGTTGGTGCTAGGCCAGCCTCAGTGGGGACCTCTTTCCACCAACTGGGGGAAAGGACCTTCTCCTTACTGCCATCAACTGAGCCTCCCTCAGAGGTGGCAGTTTGAGGCAGGCCCCAGAGATTGATCATGGTGACAGATAAGAGCATAGCTTACCCAAATTAAATCAAAAGACCTGTTAAGCAGTTGATGTAATGCTCAAATAAAATATAAAACAAATTAAGTGCCCTATCATAGAGGCCAATCTTAACCAGATAAAAATATGAGACTTGGCACCAGACAGGCTTCAGCTCCAACAGTGAAGCTGGTTCCATAACTGGTAGGGCTGCCACTGAGAAGACTCTTCTTGTTGGTACCAATCAATTCTCCCTTGGGGGTGGCAGACCCAGATCTTGATTGTAGTACCTAGATGGCTTGCATCTGGGAGAGCTGTTCCATCAGGTGTGCTATTATACTGTCCTTCTCTTCTTAAAGTATACTAGATAAGAACACAGTTTGCTTGATCACCATGGCTTGCATGCTGGTTGTTGTTTGCTTAACTACTCATTTGGGCATGGTTTGTCATCTCTTCAGAAATGGTAGCATGGCTTGCACCTGGGCGGCAGCAGGGGACAACCCTCAGGTAACCCATGGGCTGCTGTTGGGTTGAGATTAGTTTTTCTTCAAACAAGCCATGTGATTCAGGTTCAAATGCCAGGTAATTAGGCAAATCATGCCCAGCACATACTGGCATGCTCTGCAGTTGAAACATGCCACTGTGGCTTGTTTAAGCCACAGTAACCATGCAAATATGTAGCTCACTCAAACAAATATTTGATTTGCAGCTAAAATAAAATATTGTCATGCATTCAATCAGCTTCCTCCAACAGAAGAGAATCAAGACCAGAAACTAAACACATTGCTCAAAACTTGTTCCGAAGTAGATTTTCCAATGTACCTGTCTGCCCTTAGCAGTGGGGATAAAGTGACATCCCCAAGGGGGGAAAGCCTACACACAGTTTCCATATGAGTCCAGTAATTCATCTTTAGACTAGAAGGGAAGATTAGTGCTAATCAAACAATCTTAAGAACAGTAGTATCTGAAGGGCATATCCTTCACTATCTGAATAGCAGTGAACATTCATTTTATGTTCACTGGTGACCCAGTGTGGTGTACTGGTTAAGAGCATGGGACTGGGACTCAGGCAATCTGTGTTCCAGTCCTCACTCAGTCATGGAGCCAACTGGATCATAATGGGGCAGTCAGACTCAGTCCAACCTACCTCACAGGGTTGTTGTGGGGATGAGATTGAGAGCAGCAGGAGGAAAATGATGTAAGCTATGATAAATTCTTTAAAAAGAAAAAGGATATAAAGCTAACAAACAAATAATTCATCTGGAGGCAAAAGCAAGTAGAAACACAGAAACATAGCAAGTCAGAAGGGGTCTCCCGAGCCATCAAGTCTGACCCCGGGCTCCAGTTGGCTTCCCTCATGTAATACCCAGCATGTGCTTGTCCAGTTCTTCCTTGAACATCCTCACTGAAGGGCCCCCCACCAGCTCCAGTGGAAGCCCATTCCATATCTTAGGGGTCCTAACCATCAGGAAGTAGCCAATTACTAGTTTACAGGAGTTAGGTACACTATAGACTAATGGAATAGGAAACAGAAACAGAACAGTTATTCAACTGCCTTTGTACAATATTAATTTTTTGGAGTCTATATGATAATAAACTGCAAGAATAAGACTGTAATTTCAACACTGTACTGAAAAGCCCAACTTATACTTTTTGACAAATACTAGTGTTTGTTATAAAAACAGGGAATTGTCAAAGTACAGACAACTTGGAAAGAGAGTGGAATGGCCAATTAAATGGGAGAACAAGTCCTTAATAAAAGAACTTAATGGCTTTCATATTCTACTAAAAGGAAATTCTGATGCTTTGTCATTTCAGAATCCAAGCCTGTCCACAAGCCAGTTGGGGAATTGTATTCTCTTTTGCAGTCAAAACTCATAATGTCACATTACTTAAAACAATACTCCTGATTCTCAGGATGGTAAACGTGTTCCCAATAAATGACTATAACAACCACAGCATTTTTGTAGTTTTTATACATGCCTTTTACAAACATGCTTTTGACTACTATCATGGTTACATGTGTCAAATGCCCATTACAATTGAGGAAGAAAAAGCTCACATAATACAGGGTCACTGAATGGAGTATAATACTCATCAGTACATACAATGTGTCCATGTGGAGGGGAGATTTTTTAAATAAAAGAGGGGATT